ATGGAATGAACCACCTCCCCAAGAATCTCCAGCTGCCCCGCTCTGTTTTCCCCCCCTTTTTCCTGCCGCTCTGTCCTCTGTCCTCTGTCCTCTGTCCGTGCTGATTGTCAGGGAGAGAATTCACTCCATGCTCCGGTCGGTGAGAGCACCGGCTCAGGTCCTCATTGGTTCAGCTTCAGTATTCCAACAGCAGTCTCTGTGTTGCTTTCTGTATCCGGTTGTTGTTGAGTTTATAATTCCGTGAAAAACAGCAGCCAGTGACTGTTGAACGACAGCTGGCTCTGCTGCTGAGCGCTGGAAGGAGCTGCGATCCCCGGGGCAAAGTCCATGCAGCCTCGTCGCTCACAGCGCTGGAGAGACCACGAGTGTAAACCTGTCCTTTCTCGCCGCTGTGGAGTGGAAAACGATCCGACGAGGGTGAGAATGGGAGAAAGATGATACCCGGAGAAGTGACCCCCAGGTCCAGAGACCCCCTCGGCCCCAGAAGCGTCTTGGATCAGAAAGTCTTTACGCGCGTCTTTACGCAGCGCTTCTCCGCGTTCTCCTGCCGCTGTGGGAGCTGCGCTGTGTCTCCTCCGTCTGACTCCTTCTCCTCAGCAGAGGAGGACACAGAGAAGGTCTGTGACTGTGTGTGTGAGAGTGAGTGACTGCGACCTTCACACTCCAGCTCTGCAGCTCTGTGCTGCTCTCCGCACGGCAGTCACAACAACAATGGTCTGAGAGCGGCCAGGGGAGCAGGAGGAGCAGGAGGAGGAGGAGGAGGAGGAGGAAGGAGGGGGAAGGAGGGGGAGATAGAGTGAGCGAGCGAGAGAGAGAGAGGGAGAGGGAGAGGGGAAGGGGCGCTTCTGTTACCTCGTACAAAACACCCCCATCTCTCCTAAGAGCTGGCAAATAAAACCAGACCCCCTTCCTCCTCCTCCTCCTCCTCCTCCTCCTCTCCCCCTGACGCACAGTGCGCTTCGGTTGTGCCAAAATCACTTCACCTCTTTTATTAAACATTAAAAAAAAAATCTAAAAACAACCAAACTTTTTTTTTAATTGTGTTGATGCGACGCCGTCTCCCGCAGTGCGACGCGTGCCGACGCAACGGCATAAATCACGTTATTAAAACAGATGCGTTCGAGACGAGTCATAATTTATTGCGGCTTAATTGTCCTTTCTGCAAACAGAGCAGTGCGGCCGCTCTTTGGAGGCGCCTTCAATGGAGTTGTTTTTAGAGAGTGTGTGCGTGTGAACTGCCTCCACGTTTTAATTGCATCAGTAAAAAGAAGAGGAGAGAGTAATCCCATTAACTGCAGCACAGAATCAGCTGTTTTATCAGATTAAGGCTCTGAGCCTTAATGTCGCCCTTCTTATAAAAATCCTTAAAGACTTCATAGGAAACAAGAGCAGACGAAAGTCCTCTGCCTCCTCTGCTATCTTTATGTATTCACACTTCAAAGACCCTGTAAGCATTCAATTAATCTTTGTTGACTTTGTGCAAAAATGTGTTGTTTCCAGTGCGGTTCTTGCACCAGACGTTTCCTTTTGCATCAAGAAACTCTCTTTTCTTGAGATTTTTGATGATCTGTTTCCACGGGGATGCTGCCGTAAAGGTGTGTTCAACAGTTTGAACTCATCATCAAAGTTGTCATGTCACATTGTGACCACTGAAAAAACCAATCAACCCATGATATAAAGTAAATATTCATTGGTTGTTACAAAAGTTAATGATTTATTGTCAAGAACTTGACACGTGCTGCACAGGCAGGCATTAAAATATTAGGGACCTAGTTAGGGGGACATCTTTAAAAAAAGTATGACAAACAGGACATGTTTGACGATCATAGCGTAATAACATAGTGGAGGCTCTGTAATGGTTTGGGACTGTGTTTCAGACTGTGGTGTCAGTGACCTGTTTAAATTTGATGTAACCATTGATTAGATTCAGTCCATCTGCTGTTGATTATGAACCACAATGGGAAAAAACATAAAAATAAACCCTAATGAGAAACACACAGGTTTGCTCACTGTCAGCACCTGATCGTCAGCCACAGGATTTGAATCTGTGTAAAAATCACCTGGACAGCGTGCCATGTCAAGAAGCAACAAACACCCGGGGGATATTCATGGGATGTTGTGCAAGAAGTTTTAAAAACAATTCCTGATAATTATCTTAAGAAATTGCACAATGAGTTGATCAAATACTTTCCTGCTGTGGTGATAAATAATTGGCTCATACCAAATATTGGCCGGGATTTTGCAACTTCTGTTTTTGGATCATTTATTTAAAAAAAATTTTTTTTTTACATAATACATAAAAAGGTTGCACTAAAATAACTCAGTTTATTAAGCGGAAACTATTCCTGTAAAAGGACTTTATTATTGCAAGGTTACTCAATCCAATATCACGCCGATGCCATAAACAAATAAGTAAGGAATGGATGAATGAAGTCACACAGCAGCGGCAGCAGCAGCGGCAGCAGCAGTAGCAGCAGCAGCGGCAGCAGGAGCGGCAGCAGCAGCAGCCGCAGCAGCAGCAGCAGGAGCAGCAGCAGCGGCAGCAGGAGCGGCAGCAGCAGCGGCAGCAGGAGCGGCAGCAGCAGCGGCAGCGGCAGCAGCAGCAGCGGCAGCGGCAGCAGCAGCCGCAGCAGCAGCAGCGGCAGCAGGAGCGGCAGCAGCAGCGGCAGCAGGAGCGGCAGCAGCAGCGGCAGCGGCAGCAGCAGCGGCAGCGGCAGCAGCAGCGGCAGCAGCAGCCGCAGCAGCAGCAGCAGGAGCAGCAGCAGCAGCAGTAATGTTTCCAGGTAGTTTCTGTTGAAGGTCCATTCAGAGATTAATTGAGTCTCTGAGGCTGCGGGTCAGTTCTGTTCATATACAGTATCTACACTGTACAGCTGAATACTGGCCATCAGTTCTAATGAAGGAAAATCTGAATGCTCCAGTATTGTACACAATACGCCACTGTTCCACAATTGCACAGTGATGTGGACAAAGTCGAGATTCATAAGGGAATGCTTCCCCACCTTTCAGTGTGAGGAGTGCGTTGGCACCGCAGAGAAATTTGTTTATGTGAAGGTAGAGTGGGCAGGAATTTCCTGCATGTTTTTCAGCACAGAAATACATCAGCAGCGCCCGAAAGGATTAGGTGTAGACACTGGCCAAAACAAAAGGAGTCGACAAACTGTCATGGCAGTAAAAGAGCGGCTGAATGGGGTTCTTTCCATGCAGTCTGCCAGTGAGTTAATTTGTGTCCCCATAAACGTCCAAAACGGTCACACTGCCGCAGTAAATTCATGTCAGCCTGTGATATATCTTTTGTTTTGCCACTCGCTTTTATTATGAGTAGAGACAGGAAGTGTTGAGGGGAAAGGGGGCAATAACAGGCTACAAAGGTCCAACACAGGATACAAACACGGTTACATGATACCTGTTTTACTCCACTCAGCCTCCAGGATGCTGCCAGACATGTTTGCCTTAAGCGCTGCGTGCCTGGCTGAGAGCTGAGGGCAACGGCAGAATAAAAGTTCCAGATAAATCACGGAG